GTGGAGGGAAGCGGTGGATTTCGGGCGGGCCGCAGCTGCCCGTGGGTGGCGAGGTTACCAGGTTCGGCCTCCTCCCTTCGCCCCCGCCCCCCTCCCCCCCCTGCCTCTTTCCCTCCTCCATCCCTCCTTCCCCCCTTCCCCTTCCGTCCCTCCATGCCTCCACGCCTCCCTCCTCCCTCCTGCCAGCTCAGGCGTTGGCCGGTCCAGGGGGTCTGAGGTGTGCTCCCAGGGAGCGCGGGTCCCCCTGACGGCCGCGCCCACCGCGCCGTGCGGCCGCCATAGCCACGCCACGCGCGACCGAGGACGCAGCGACGTCGCCCACGCGGCTAGCCAGGGATCGCTCGCCAGCTTGGCATCGACGTCTTCGATTACCACGTGCAGCGGCAAGAGCCTTGGTTCGGGTGGCCTCCGCCCGCCAAGAGTCTTCTCTTGGCCAATCACAGCCACGATTTCGATATGGCCATGTCAGATCGAGTAGCTCCGCCATGGGCTGCAGGCGGGGGCAATACCAGTCCAAGCTCTTCTTCGCCTCAATCCTCTTCTTCACCATGGCCAGCAGGCGGCAGTCCCGGCTCCTGCCACGCCCAAGCAGTCACCTTTACTTGGGCCAGGTCCACCAGGTCCACAAGCTGCTGCTGCTGCTGCTCCTTGACCCTCGACGGCGACCTCGCTTCTACCACAGGTGATCACCGACCCTCAAACAGGGCAGGACAAGTTGACATCGCAGCTTGCTCAGCTATCCGCCCGGTTCAGCAGCTTGACAGTGGCGCTCTCGACGGCAGCGGCGGCATCACCTGCAGCTCCAGCCGCAGCAGCACAGGTTCCGATACCAGGAGCCACTTCCCAAGCTGCCCTGAGTGCAGCTGCCCGTCCAGCAGCAAATGGATCAGATGTCCCTGCTCACGACGAAAATGGCCTTCCTGTTACAGGCGATGCGGAGTTGGCTGCCCTACGCTCTCCTGGTGGAGGAAGGGCAGCCCAACGCGAGCAGCAGCGCATGAAGGACATCCTGCAGATCGTGGGACAGAGAAAGCTAATGTGGGGTGCTGCTCTTGCCGACGACGCCAGAGCACGCCGATCAGCAGCAGCAGCAGGCGAGTTTTTAGCGGAAGCGCACAAGTGCATCCAGCTCCCCGCGGAGTCGGACGAGCCTTCTCAGGACCCAGAAGTGGCAGCAGCGAGGTCAGCAGAGTGGAGATGTCACGCTCCGCAAATTATGCCTGCCACTCCCTTGGGCCCTCTGCCTACTCGTGGATGCCACTACAGCCCTCTCCCAAATGCCTAAGAGATTCTGGAGATCTTGACCAAGACATGCAGTACGGTCGGTTGGCGTCGTCTCGACCAGCGGTGACCCCGCCGCCGATGTTCACAACGTTGAACGCCGGCGGCGGCCCAGGATTCATCGATGCTGATTGATCTGGCGTTTCGGAAGCGGCCGGTCATCGTTCAATGCTGAACGATCCCCGCGGTGTCAGAAACCGACGCCGAGGTCGGCACGGCACGAACCTACCGTACTGACTTAGACACCGGCCTTTCTTGACATGGCGCAGCTTCTACGTCCCGCTGCCGTTCAGGCTCTGCCAGGACTCCGCGCCTCCCGCTGCGTCGTCGGCCAGCGGGCCAGAGTGCGTATATCTGTGGATGGCTCTGGTATGTCGTGGGCGGCCAGGGGGGGGGGTGACGACTGGGGGGCGGGGGTGGATCTCATGCACGGCGGGGGTCATGATCTCTCCCCAGATCTCATGGCGCCTCTTCTTATTTCATGACGTCCCTGGTCCCTCCCCTGGACCGCGCACATGCCGCCGGTCCAGATTTGCGCCCCCCCCTCTTGGACGCCCCCCTCTTGGCCGCCCCTGAGTGTTGCTCATCCAGAGGTTCCTTCTGGCAAGGCAGTCCATGCGCCCAAAGGGCCTCTTAGTTGAGCTATGGTGGCTATTGCTGGAGACGCCGACCCCATTATCGCTCTCATGGACTTTAAAGCGCAGGCATGTGATCCCACGGAGGTTGCCCTGGAGTTTCTATGTGTGTCTCTCCGAGCTCATCGCGACCCAATGGGCCATTGTCTGGTTACTTCAAAAGGATGTCTTAGAATTTTGTGGCATCTGCTTCTACGGGGCAATCCGAAGGTCCTTCCGATTTTGGACGGCGGGGCTACTAGAGCCCCCCTCTTACCCCGAAGGAAGCTCCCAGATGGGACATTCTGTCTTGTGCGCGCCCGAGCTGCAGGACATTCAGAATCGCGCACGTTGGAGGTCACTCAGGTCGCCCGTGGAATGAGCTGGCCGACACTACGCGCGCTCTTGCTTCAGCTGATCTGTGTGCTTTCAGTCCACTCTCCTCAGGCTGCGGGGAAGTCGAATCTCACATCGACGTTCTTGGTTGGGCGTGGCTGAAGTGCGCTCCGTATATCTAGCGCGATCATTTCCCTTCTGCTTAAGGCATTGCGCTTCCGTAGTCGAAGCCCCATTTCTTTCGCCTTCCTCATCTGGCTCCTCCGACGGCTCATCAGGCCCCTCCGACGGACTCCTGCAACAGCGATGGGGCGTCTGGTGATACCAGCGGGCAGTTCTCCACCTCCAGGGCCCTAGACAGTTTTCCAGGAGTTTTGCGAATGTGGCGCCCCCCGTCCCGACTCACCCTATTCGAATCGATTAAGTCGCGGAGGTCTCCAAGCGCCTCTGAGCGTGGTTTTCAGCTTTTTCTTCAGGCCCCACTGGGCTCAAACAGCACATCGTCATATTCCACCGCTCGTCCGTTCGACAGGTTCGCTCGGTGCTCGGGTCTTCCACCATGAGTAGCATGTGCCACATGCTGTTCGCCTGTAGGACAGTTCTTGCAGAATGCGTTGCCTTCGACTCGCCCAAGTGTGCAGTGTCCCTTCTTGGTCAGCCTCGCACGTGCCCAGTGGGCGAGTGCCAGACCTTGAGCGACCAGGACCTCGAGGCAGCTCGTCAACAGAGGATCGCAGGTCAGTCAATGGATGTGGCGCCTAGCTTTCCGTTATCCTCGGAGGAGGCTCGGGAAGTCTTGGTGCTGGGCGATTATGCTTTGCCGCTTGAGACGGCCGGGAATTTTCTGAATTTAAAGTGGCGCTCCCCAGCTTTCCGATCCCCCACCCTTCCTGATGTCCGCGTCTGGCCATTCAATTATGGAGCGCGGATATTTTCTGGGATTGCGGGGGCTGCTCTACCCACCTTGCAGGTTAAGGCTTGAGCTTTTCGGGCTTGACTTGTTTTCGGGGGGGCGCGGATGAGGGGGCGTCCAGTCTCGCCTCCAATTTCCCTGGGCCGACACAGAGCGTGCTGTGTGCTGTTTATCGGTCGACGTCGCCATAGACTCGGTGCGCGGCGATCTCACGAGAACCCAGCTGATCCAGGAGTGGATAGGGCACGTCCGAGCCAGAAGAGTGCTCAACTCGGGGGAGGCGGGGAGGGCCTGGCGAGACTTGGAGCGCTGCGCGGCTGTGCGAAGCCCCCCCCCTCCCCCCCTCAGGACCCATGGGCATGCTTGGGGGGTTCCGTAGCGCGCGGCCCGCCAGGGCCTCCGGCTCTCCACAGGGTCCCAGCTTTTGCGCGCTCTTGCCCAGTTGCTCGCGGCCGCACGGCCTCGGGCACCAGTGGATGGATGGGGCGCCCACTGCCTGCGAAATGGATGGCGGGCGCCCCCACGCCGTTTCGCTGGCAGCCGTTGATCGCTCTAGCTTCAGCTCCTCGCTCTTGCGTGGCAGACTTCGGTCAGTGCGATCATCTTCCTGCTGACAGGGCCTGGGACACTGTAGGCCGATCTCCCAGCGGCATCCTCGGCTTTCGTTTGTCCCCCCTATCCTACCATCTTCGTGGTGCCACCACGGAGGTGGAAGTGCTCCCATGGCAAAGGGGCCCGCAGGACCCTACCGGGCAAAGCTGCTAACGGCACTTTCAGAACGGCTGCCAAGAGTACGTGCAGTTCGGGTTTGCCAAAAAAGCTATCGCATAGAGTTTTGTTGACAGTTTGCTCGAGCTTGCCACTCCCACTGTTCACGGCGCAGGTTTATCTTCGGAACAGGTCTGCAGGACCTTCGCAGGGATTGCCCAGTGTCTACGTTCCCTGGCAAGGCAAGTACGGCATCCAATTCGAGGAGGCTCCCGACTTCGCTCGTCGCCGATTTCATGGACCTAACTACGGTCGACCCTGAGCGCGAGCGATTTCGAGTCCTTGGGCCAGATTTCCCCACCCGCTCCCAGTCTCTCGTCTTTTCGGGTCTTGATCCCTCCAGCGAGGGCGAGGCTGCTGCCGAGGAGAAGGTGGCGGAACGTTTCGGGTTCCGCGAGTGTGCCTGTCCTTCCCCTTCCTCCCCCGCTTGCTTTGAGCCTCTTCCCCCGCCTCCACCCCCTCCTCCTTACCTGGCTGAGGAACAACTCTCCCTCGTCAGGCAGAAGCGGCGAGGTTGCTCGCCCAACGGGCGCCCTGGATAGCGCTGGGGGGTTCCTGCAGGGCTCTTTCTTTGCTTCCTCCCCTGGACCTCTTGGGGTTCCAGGTTGGGGGGCGGATCTTCCTTTTTGATCTCTTGGCGGTGGCGCAAGTCCAGATCAACAGCGCCACCCGCCCGAACCATCCACATCGGTACCGAACACGCCTAGCGCGAAGCTCTCGTCGAGCGAGAGAGCCTGCCTGCTCCTCGCTCCCCCATCATCACTCTTCCGTCCTTCTTTCGGCTCCCTCCCCCGCCGAGCTTCCTCCCCCTCGTCGCCTCCCCCCATCTTTCTCCTCGTCTGCATCCCTCTCGCCTTGTGCGTCCCCACTCCCTCGCCGCTCGCAGCGACAGTCAGAGGCATGTTGTTTTTACCTGAACAGTCCGTTTGTTGCGTTTCAACGTGTGACTCGTCAGGCGGGTCGGGGAGCCGTTGCCGGCCCAGGAATCGGTGATTTGATGTTTCCGCGTCCGATCTCCTGATGGTCTCCCGTGTGCTCCCCCGCATGGCCTCCTGCATGTACAATCCATTATCAGTCCATACTTTCAGTTTAACTACTTTTTATTGGGCGTTCTGCAGCCAGGGTGTAACTTGGTGCTGCTCAGGTGCAGCGACGACCGCACGGACGATCGCGACCAGGTGCGGCGCAGGATTTTAGCCTACCCGCGCCCCCGATCCTGCTTGCCATTTTTTTTTGCTCCGAGTGCCCCGATCTCGGGTTGTGGCATGTCTTGAATCGCCGTCTGGCGGGAAATCGCCCGGAGAGGGCGTTGGAGCCGTCGCCGGAGGGCAGGGTGGTCAGAACGGCGGTGGCGAGCGCTCTCCCCGTGGGCTCCGGGAATGCTCGGGAGTGCAAGGCCGCCTCGCTCCTGGGCGTCGTGCTCTCCCAGGCAGGGCCCGCGCGCCAGCGCGGATTTGCCGGAGCGTCTGGGGCCGGGGTCCCTTGGGCGCCGCGTAATGGGGGGGTCATAAATGGGGGGGTGGCGAGGGTGGTTCGAAAAGGTACCCAAACGGTACCTAAACGAGCCCCCTGGGGCTCCGGAGGAGCCCGAAAGGGGCACGAAAGGGGACCGTTTCTGACCCCCCCGTTTATGACCCCCCTGTTAAGTCACGCCCAAGTCCCCCAGCGTCCCCGGCACTAGCGCTGGCGGCTGCCAGATCGGCGACTCCCGGGCAGCCGCTGTGGGGCGGCGGCGCCGTGCCCCCTCGCGGGCCAGCGTCCAGGCAGGCCCTGCCGGGTGCGCCTCCGAGGCTCCCGGCCTGCTGTCGGCGCATTTTCCTGTGGCAGGGGTGCGTTGGCTCCCCCCGTGTCCAGGGTGGGCGGGCGGAGGCCCCATATCCACTCTCGGTGCCTTCCTCCCTCTTGTTTCTGCCCTGCTGCTCCTGCACGACTCGGAGGTGGATCGACCTCCTACCCTGACACGTCGATTGAGGCACTGGCCGTTTTCGGTCCGCGAGAGGGCGTGGCGGCCGTCATTTTTGCGTGTCCAGGTCCGTCGGTTTCGGTCCCAGGCCGTTTTCATTGAGGGGAGGTTTACTAAAGGGAGGCTTGTCCACCGCCGAACGACGTGTCCCCCCCCCCCCCCGCAGTCCAGCAGACGCGCCGCCGTCCTCCATCCTGGCACGCGAATGCTGCTGGCGAGTATCCGCTCCGCTGCACGTGCGCGTCCTGGTCGGGAGTGCCCCCCCCCCGCAGCATGGGAGGGCCAGCGACGGAGGCGACTTTTAGGAGGGCCCCGTGGCGCCACGCAGCAGGGCTTCGGGCTGCTGCCGGCCACGTCCCCGAGCTCTGGCTACACCCTAGGCGATGCTTAAGAAAACTTAAGTTTTCGTCCAGAGTCTCGATGTTTCTTAACTTTTCAATGTAATTCCCAAGATTTTGATAGAAGTTCTGGGTTTTATTCGATTTCTGAGACTATGAATTTCTTAACCCATGATTTCTTAAGCATGTCACAGGGTGTACATCCCCGTCCAGGATTGGTGCTGCTGCCCTCGCGTCGGCCACATCCCTCATCACCAGGCGTGGTGCTCTCGCCTCAGCGCCGGCCTCACCCCTGAGTGGGTCCTGTGTGCTGCCGCTCGAGCGCCAACCACAATCACGTGCCAGGACGCTTCTGGTGTGCATCTTGGAGGGTTTGACCAGGTTGTCCAGGGGGTTGTCCGGATAATTTTCGGGTCCGTTTTTTTTTTTTTTTTTTTTTTTTTTTTTTTTTTTTTTTTTTTTTTTTTTTTTTTTTTTTTTTTTTTTTTTTTTTTTTTATATATATATATATATATATATATATATATACCATGGAACCCTCACGCGCAGCATCGGCCTCCGCCCCCTTCAACCGGGGTTGCGGATCTGCATCGCCATCTCTTCGCACTCTGCTCCTGACGCGAACGGCTCGCGCGTGGGCTGACACCGTGCTGATGGAGCTGTTTTCGAGGGGAGGAATAGTAATCCCATTGAAGATAGTCAGGCGATCGCAAACATGGATCAAGGGGACGTGGATTAGCGACGGGTCCCCTTTCCACGGGAAAGCGCGGATTCCCGTTGCCGAACGAGGCGGCACCGGCCGCATTTTCGGGAGGGCCCCTCCCCCGATCTGTGGCGACCGCGCGCCAAATCCATGGATCGCCAATCCATGCCTGCGCGCCCCCGACGTAGGACGATCGGAGGGCACCAACTATACACCAACACCGATCCTGGCCCAGGATCACCCTGGGCCCAGGATCGGTGTATATGCCTTCTTGCGCAAGGCAGGATCGGGGGCGGACAGAACCCCCAATAGTGACACGTCGATTAGTGAGTTGTCCGTTTTCGGTTCTCGAGAGGGCGCCGCGGCCGTCATTTTCCAGGCTTGCGTCCGCCAGGTTTGGGTCTCAGGTCGTTTTCACTAAACCACGTTTTACTAAAGGGAGGTCTGTCCATCCCCGACAGGAGGGCGCATACACCGATCCTGGGCCCAGGGTGATCCTGGGCCAGGATCGGTGTTGGTGTACAGTTGGTGCCCTCCTATCGACGATCCTGGCTCCCTCCCCGGGTCGATCCGGGGGGAGGAGACTCTCTGGCGGCCCCCCCCCCTCGAGAGAGGGGGGGGGCCCGCGACCCGTGCGCGAGGGGGCGGGCGCCAGGCCCCCTTTGACAGCACAGGCCGGCCCCGTGAGGCGGAGTCCGACCCACCTCCCCCTCTTCCCTCCCGCCCGCCCGCCCGCCCCGCTCCCCGCCCGCCCGCCCGCCCTCCCTTACCCTCCCTCTTCCTTCCCGCTAGGCCTCCGAGCTGGGGTCGAGGCAGATGGGGTCGGAGGATCGCGCCGCATCGCCGATGCGTCGACGGTGCGTCGGCGATGCGGCTCGATGTGGAGCTCGTGTTTCCCCACGCCGACGTCGCCGGTGCATCGCCGACGTCGCCGATGCATCGCCGGTGCGTCGCCGATACATCGCCGATGTATCGGCGATGCTGCGCGATCCACCGACCCCATCTACTCCGACTCCATCTAGGATGCCTCTACCATCCCTCCCGCCCTCCCCGTGACAAAGATCAAGGCGGAGTTTTTTGTTGGTGTTGTTAATTTCGTCCTCCAGGGGCACTCGCCGGGACCGTCGACAAAATCTGCTCAGGACGAAAAGCGGGTCGTGGAGGATTGGTCGAGACCTGGATCACGAAGTCTGGGGTAATTGGGGCCCTCCTCGCGTCCAACGTCTCGCTGTTCAAGAGGCTTGCGCCAGTCCGTCGACCCCCGGAGGAGGTTCCGTGTGGCTTCCGATTCTGTTGGCGTCGTTTGCCGCTTCCCGTCGTGCTGCCTGCGTGTAGCTGTTACTGGTTTGTCCTCCTCTTCCTCCGCGTCCGTTGCGGGGCCTCGTGGGGGCCTTTCAGGGGGGGCGGCCTCGCGAGAGCTCGGGTCTTTTGGGGGCTCGTCAGAGCTCGGGTGCTTCCCGGAGCCCTCTGTTGGGCATGAGGGGGGTCTTGGGGGCCACGTTGTGGGGAGAGCGCCCGGGGCCCTTGCGAGTTCACCTGTTGGGCCTCTCTTGGGCCCCTCTCGCGGACCTCGTGAATGATGCTGTTTGGCCGTCTTGGGGGTCTCTTTAGGCATCTTAGGGCCCCCTTTGGGGGCTTTTTGGGCCGCCGTGGGCTGGTCAGGGGTGGCCCGCAGGCCGCTTCAAGGGTTTGCAGAAGCACGACAAGGCGATAACGCGAAGCCATCCCAAGCCTTGATACAGACAAGTGTTTTCGCCTCTGGAAGCCCTCTCAAAGGGGGTTCTCTCTTGTGGCCCCCTCGGGGCGTCCTCGGACCCTCTTGGGCCGTCTTGAGGCCATCTTGGGCGCTCTTGAGTTCTGGCGTGCTGGAGGCCTTCCTGAGCTACCTTCGAAGGCCCCAGTGCGCATCCGCGAGGCCGCGGGTGGTGGCTGCGGAGGCTCCGAAGGCCCCAGGGGGCGCGTTGACGAGCGAGCGCCCCCCCCCCCCGGCCACTGAGAGGACTGTGGACCTCCGGGGTGGGGGACCCACAATCTCGTCAGTGGCAGGGGGGAGGTGGACAGTCAATCATGCCACAGAGGGGGACAGTCAATCAGTTCAAAGAGGGGGACCCACGATCCCACCCCTTGGGGGGGGGGGGAGGTGGACAGTCAATCATGCCACAGAGGGGGACAGTCAATCAGTTCAAAGAGGGGGACCCACGATCCCACCCCTTGGGGGGGGGGAAGGGGGACAGTCAATCATGTCACAGAGGGGGACAGTCAATCACGTTACACTCGTACTCCCCCCCGGCAAGCGGGGGATCGACGGACTTCTCTCTCGCTGCTTCTCTGCCTCCGTCCCCTGGCTCCCTGCCATCCGTTTCCCTCATCTCTCCACCCCAATCCCTGCTTCTCCACCCTGCCTCCCTGCCTCCCTGCCTGCCCTCCCTGTCCCCCGCTGCTCTGCTCTCTTTGCTCCTCACCCCTCACGGCCTCTCCTTCCCCCCCCCGCCGCCCCTGGCGCGCCCGGGCGCCGACCGCGCCGAGATGGGCTGGCGCGTGGAGAACGACACGGGGAAGCGGGACGGGATGGGCTCGTGAGCGCCCCCGCGCCGCGTCCATGCTCCCCTCTCCTGCCGTCGTCGTCGTCGTCGTCGTCGTCGTCGTCGTCGTCGTCGTCGTCGTCGTCGTCGTGGTCCTCGTCGTCGTCGTCGCCGTCGTCGTCGTCGTCGTCGTCGTCGTGGTCCTCGTCGTCGTCGTCGTCGCCGTAAAAGGACGGGGGGGAGCACCCATGCGAGGGGAAAACCGACTCGGGTGAGCTTCTGAAGCGAATGTTCGAGGCACTACAGGGAGTTCCACATTCTGAGAACGACCTGACTCCATTCGGGCAGTTGCTGCTGAGAAGTGCTGAACGGGTGCGCGGGGCGCTCAGGCAAGAACCGAATTTTGATAGTGCGGTCACCTCAGTACGCGTACAGTCAAACTGCATTGTAAGGATGAGCGACTTTCCAAGGTTACTCCTGCATCCTTCCCCTTCGGCCCATCCTCTGTCGCTTTCGCAGGCCGCGCCCCGCCCGCAAAGTGTCCGCATGGCCTTCCAAGGTCCTTGCATCCTTACCGCGCGTCCTTCTTATACGGGTTGACAGTACAGTTCTTATACGGGTTGACGGTACAGCTGGCACGAGGGTGAAGAGCAGCATGCGCAGTGGAGGGGTACCCTCGTGTTCCTCGTACTCGGGCTTTCCTTCGTTCTTGGGTACCTCCAGGCGGCCTTGGGCCGGGCCCTCGGCGAGGGTGCTCGTGCTCTCGAGCCCAATACGACCTAGGAGAGCTCCAAGACGGCTCCACGAGGAGCCCAAGAGGGGGAACCCGAATCAAAAATCCGCCCCTTCCGCCCCAAGAAGGTCCCAGGAGGCCCCTGGAGGCCCCTAAGAGGCTCCAAGAGGCCCCGAAGAGATCCCCCCAATAGGCCAAACCCAGCGGGGGTTTATGGAGGGGAAGATTCTGATACGCCAAGAGGCCCACAAGGGGTCGATGGCTTCCGGACGGGCCACGAGCGCTCGAAAACAGCCCAAGACTGCCCCTAGACGGCCAGAAAAGCATTCAAGACTGTCCAGGAGGCCACCGAGAAGGCTACCCAAGGGCAAAAAGCATGCATTTCCTATAGGAAAATGAAGATTTCTTGGATATTTGCTTTTCAGTCCTACCAGCGGCCGCGACGGCCCCAGAGGCTCCCAAAATGAGCTCCAGACGGCCCAAGAGGCCCCCAAGAGGGCCCCCAGACGGCCTGAAGAGAGCTTCAAGCAGCACAGGAGAGTTCCACCACGGCCCAAGAGAGTACCTAGCCCCGAGGGGGCCACCGGAGGATCCCTACATGGTCGGAGAGGGCCCCCAGAGGGCCCCAAGGCAGGCTCAGGTCCCCATCGCGGGCGGAGAGGGACCCAGATCGGCCGAACTGGGTTCCCAGAGGGTCCAACAAAAAGGCCTACCAGGTCTCCCTGAAGACAGTCCAGGAGGCCGCTGAGAAGGCTCCTGGGTGCAAAAACTGGCATTTCCAATGGAAAAGTATCGATTTCTATGATATTCGCTTCTTATGTCGGCGCCGCACAGTCCGCGAGGCCCCCAAGAGGGCTCCAAGACAGCCTCAAGAGAGCGTCGAGCAGCACAAGAGAACTCCAAAACAGCTCGAGAGAGTCCCCAGGGGGCCCGAGGGAGCCACCGGAGGATCCCTACATGGTCGGAGAAGGCTCCATGAGGGCCCCGAGACGGCTCAGTTACCCATGACATGCCAAGATGGGCTTGGGACAGCCGAAATGGGGCTCCCACACGGGCCACAGAAGGCCCACAATGCCCCCCCCACGACTGTCCAAGAGGCCGCTGAGAAGCCCCTCCAAAGGCAAAACTCAAGCATTTCCTTTTTGGAAAACCTTATATTTCTGGGAGCTTCGCTTTTCAGTTCTACTAGCGGTCGCGACGGCCGAAGAGGTTACCAAAATGGGCCCCAGACGGCCCCAGAGGCCCCAAAGAGGGTTCGAAGATAGGCTGAAGAGAGCTTCAAGCGGCACAGAAGAGCTAGAAGACGGCCCAAGAAAGCCCACAGGAAGCCCGAGGGGACCATCAGAGGATTCCTACATGGTCGCGGAGGGCCCCAGGAGGGCCCTAAGGCGGGCTGAGCTCCCCACGACGAGCCAAGAGGGATGTGGAACGGCCGAAATGGGCCCTCAGACGGGCCAACGAATGCCCCAAAGGACTCCAAAAGAAGGCCCGGAGAGGCTCCAGAGACTACCACAATGCTTCCCCCAAAAAGGCTCCCGGCACGCGTTCCAGAAGACACCCGTTTACTGGGTGTGCTGAGAAAAGAGAGAGAGGAGGACAAGAAGGAGGAGGAGGAGCAGGAGGAGGAGGAGGAGGAGGAGGAGGAGGAGGAGGAGGAGGAGGAGGAGGAGGAGGAGGAGGAGGAGGAGGAGGAGGTGGGGAGGAGGAGGAGGAGGAAGGAGGAGGAGGAGGAGGAGGAGGAGGAGGAGGAGGAGGAGGAGGAGGAGGAGGAGGAGGAGGAGGAGGAGGAGGAGGAGGGGGAGCAGGAGCAGGAGGAGGAGGAGGAATATCAGGATGACGAAGAGGAGGAAGAGGAGGGGGAAGAGGAGGAGAGACATTGTTCTTGTGATATTATCTGGTTCTCTGATTATTTGGCTCGGGGAGGGATGCTGAGGACGAGGAGGGAAGGGGAGCGCAGGATGAAGAGGGCTCGAGAGGAGGAAGGAGGTGAAGTAGGTGAAGGAACACAAGGAGGGACACACCGAAGAGAGGGGAAGGCAGAGAGGAGGAGGAAGAAGAGGAGGAGGAGGAGGAGCAGGAGGAGGTGAAGGAACAGGGATCCCTTTCAGGGAAAACGCCGACGAGGAAAAGGATGAATATAAGCTGATGGGGAGAGGGAGAGCGGGAAGAGGAGGAGGGTAACGAGACTGCAATGGACCAGGGATGATGACGGCGATGACGTTGACGAGAATGACGATGAATATGCCGACGACGGCGCGGACGACGACCAACAAGATGTTGATGATGCGGGTGATGATGTTGAAAAGTACGTTGACGATGATGGTGATGGTAAACAAGATGCTGATGATGATGGCGATACTGATGATTGTTGTGATGGTGATGGTGAAGGTGGCCATTACGATGACGATGAAGATGACGGGGATGAGGATGACAATGATGACGGTGATCATGACCCTAGCTAGAACTTGAGCGCGCGCGAAGCGCGCGCGATGGTTCCAATACATAAACATATATATATATATATATATATATATGTAAAAAAGGGTTTTGGCATTCGCGCGACGACGCGCGCATGTAAACTTTGTATCACTTTTTCAATGGTTACTGAACATTTCCGTTACTCAAGAATACCAGTGTGCGCGCATCTTGTTTTTTTTTTCCCCTACCTAGGCTCTGCCTAGAAGGGTTCTTTTTCTGTAGCTTAAGGGGCCAGGCAGTGCACCCCGCCCCGGGCGGTCCCCCAGTCCCCTGGGGGGATCCAAGCAAAAGCAACAGCAAAGGTAAAAGCAAACGCGCGGGTCCCCCAGTTGCGCTCCCTGGGTGCCAAGCAAAAGCAAAAGCAAAGGCAACAGTGAAGGCAAAAGCGAAGGCAAAGCAAACGCATAGCATAGCATAGTATAGCATAGCACAACATAGCATAACATAGCATAGCATAGCGCAGCACAGCATAACGCAGCACAGCATAGCATAGCATAGCACAGCATAGCCTAGCCTAGCCTAGCCCAGCATAGCATTGCGCAGCATTGCATAGCATAGCATAGCATAACATATCGTAGCATAGCATAGCATAACATAGCATAGCATAGCATAGCGCAGCACAACATCCACTTACGTCGTGGCGTCGGCGGTTCTGGCGCTACTACTACTACTACTACTACTACTACTACTACTACTACTACTACTACTACTACTACTACTACTACTACTACTGTTACTACTACTACTACTACTACTACTACTACTACTACTACTACTACTACGACTACTACTACTACTACTACTACTACTACTACTACTACTACTACTACTACTACTACTACTACTACTACTACTACTACTACTACTACTACTACTACTACTACTACTACTACTACTACTACTACTACTACTACTACTACTACTACTACTACTACTACTACTACTACTACTACTACTACTACTACTACTACTACTACTACTACTACTACTACTACCTGCTGCTGCTGCTGCTGCTGCTACTACTACTACTACTACTGCTACAACTACGACGATGAGGAGAAGGAGGAGGACGGCGTTTACCGCTCCTACTTATGTTGCTTTCCTAGAGGCTCCAACTCCTAGGTAGGGTCGCACTGGGATAATTTTGACGAGGATGAAGCGGGTGCCCATACCGGTTTGGCTTGGATGATCTGAGCATTTATGTAGAGAGAAGGATGGGGCATAATCGTACCTACATCCCCAAGGGGGGCAGATGAACCTGGGAACGGGAGGTAGATCCCAATTTTGTCGCGCAATCAAATGTGTATCAAGCTGCGGCGGCGACGGGTGGCGACGGGCGTCCACAAGCCGGCCGGGCCGGTACATGTGCCCATACGGGCGGCGGCGACGGGCGGCGACGAGCGGCGACGGGGCGGCGACGGGGTGGCCACCTGCCCGCCGCGGCGGCACGCGAGCCCGGCGACGAGGCGTCGACGGGCGGCGACGGGCGGCGACGGGGCGGCGACGGGGCGGCCAAAGCCGGTCGGGGCGGAACGCCACCCCAATTCTTTGGAAGACAAGGAAGGACCCCCACGGGCAAGCACTGCTAGGGAAACTCCGTCATGAAAGGAGGGGGTCGCAACCCCTCCACGCGACCCACTTAAAGACCCCCCGCAGACCAGCCATGAATGGGCGGCCTCTTGCCCAGATTCCCCACCTTTGATTATGAAGCTCGGCGAAGCCTTGGGGCCCCCGCCCCCCTAGCCAGAGCCGAGGCCCCCAGTGGCTCCCAAGGACGCCCCAAGAGCCGAGCAGGTGCGGGGACCAGGGGCCCCGTAGACTGCCGAAGGGGGCTCCCCCTGGGCCAGCACGCTCGCGCTCGGCGTGAAAAATTCGCCAGGCGCGCTCGCATGTCCATCGGGACCCCATCGGTCCCGTCAAGCGGGAGGAAGGGTCGGGAAGCAGAGGCGGGAAGGTACATACAGGAGCGGGAGGGACAGACGCCAGGACCGGGCATCATATCATCTGCATGTCTGAAGCAGTCCATTCTGTAAGCAATCACGTGCACGTGCTTTAGTACCGAATGCGACAAGAGTATACGTATAATCTTTCGGAGGTTCGCGCGCCTTTCTTGGATTGGCGCTGGAACCTCCTGGCGGCGTCTCCGGCGCCGCCCCTGGCGCACTCTGCGCGCTAATCCAATCCAAGGAATCCGCGCGGACCTCCGAAGGTTGATGTCTGAACCGTTTTCCCTTCTTCTACAGTAGGAGCCTCCCTCCTCCACAGGCCTCCTCCCTCCTCCCCTCCCTCCCACCTCCCTCCTCCCTCCTCCCTCCTCCCTCCTGCTCGCTCCCTCCCTCCTCCCTTCGCTCCCTCCTCCCTCGCTCCCTCCTCCCTCCCTCCCTCCTCCCTCGCTCCCTCCTCCCTCGCTCCCTCCTCCCTCGCTCCTCCTCCCTCCTCCCTCGCTCCCTCCTCCCTCGCTCCCTCCTCCCCTCGCTCCCTCCTCCCCCCCCCGCACTCCTCCGCGGGCCGCGGGGCGCCGTCGCCGCCCGCTGACCTCCCGCGGGGGCACTCCCCGGGGCTGCTGTGGCGCGCCCCGCCTGGCCAGCCGCGGCTCCGCTCCAGGGAGAAAGAGCGCTCCAGGCCGTCGGCGCCAGGAGGAGAAGGAGGGGAAGGAGGAGGAGGAGGAGGAGGAGGAGGAGGAGGAGGAGGAGGAGGAGGAGGAGGAGGAGGAGGAGGAGGAGGAGGAGGAGGAGGAGGAGGAGGAGGAGGAGGAGGAGGAGGAGGAGGAGGAGGAGGAGGAGGAGGAGGAGGAGGAGGAGGAGGAGGAGGAGGAGGAGGAGGAGGAGGGTGCTGGGGAGCCCGCCGCCAGCCGCCGCCGCCGCCAGCCGCCGCCGCCGCCAGCCGCCGCCGCCGCCGCTGCCGCCGCCGCCGCCGCCGCCGCCGTCGTCGTCGTCGTCGTCGTCGTCGTCGTCGTCGTCGTCGTCGTCGTCGTCGTCGTCGTCGCCTCCGCCGTCGTTTTCTGCCGTCGTTGTCGTCGCCGTCGCTGCTGCCACAGCCATTACTTGCTCGCGGTCGGTTGCCGTCGTCGCCGCCGCCGTCGTGGCTGTCGTCGTCGTCGTCGTCGTCGTCGTCGTCGTCGTCGTCGTCGTCGTCGTCGTCGTCGTGGTGGTCGTCATCATCGCCGTCGTCGTGTGGCATGGCTCGGCGGCGAGCGAGGGGGGGAAGTGAGAAGCGGCGGGCCTTCTCAGAAGTTTCGGAAGTCCCCCGGCCTTCTGAGAAGTTTTCGGAGCCTTCCCCGGAGACGGAACAGAGACCTCTCAGAAGGCGCGAGGGTTTCTGAGAAGCCCCGGCCGCCCTCTGTGAGGGCCTTCTCCTTCTCACTTCCCCCCCTCGCTCGCCGCCAAATGGCACCTGGCATCGCGGCGACTTGGTGGGGGGGCCGCGGATCGCAGGTAGGGCGGCCTGTCTGCGCACGCCCTGGTACAGTGGAGATCGATTGGTAGGTCGACCCTGCCGAGTCAAGGTACCCTTGTGCCCTGAGCTTCGCGACCCATGCCTTCTTACATTCCTATGGCAATGTGGCCCTCGGAAGGGTCTTATGCCCTCTCGCGTGTCCTCTCCAATCAACCCCGACTGTACGGTTGGTCCAGTCGCGGGAGGATGCCGCCGTGCCGCTCGCGAAGGCTTTGGGGCCGAGGCGGCCTGCATCGGCAGCGGCGGCAGTCTGGTAGTTTGCTGCTGCCGCCGATTTCTTCCACATATCAGGAGGGGAAGAAACACACAGACACAATGAGTCGCCGGTCCCCAGGAAAAGATAGGAACATCTGGATAAGTGCGTGGGGGGAAGCCGGGAACCCAGAACATACGGAAAAATAGGGGGTATTTTGGGGTTTGTGTCCATTCATTTGTGTGTCCCTGGGCCCCTTCAACCTAAGACTTCCAGGAGGCCCCCAGGAGCCCTCATGTGGCGTCCTGCAATCCCTCGGAGGGTGCCAGCTATACGTGCACCCCGATCCTGGCCAGGCCCGTCCTGAGCCCAGGATCGGAGCACACGCCCTCCTGGCCAAGCCAGGAGGGCGTATGCACATATCCTGGGCCCAGGATGGCCCTGGCCAGGGTCGGCGTATGTGTGCAGTTGGCGCCCTCCTAATCCCCCCTCCTCTGCGGGCCCCAAGAATATAGACCACCACCACCACCACTTCCAGTTCGCGTCTCCCCTCTTCCCTCCTCTGCCCCCTCCTCCTCCCTGGGAGAGGGAGGGGGCGAGGGAGGTGGTGGTGGTGTGCACTTTCGGGCCCCGTGTCCTCTTCTCCCCCTCCCCCTGCCCCCCTCCTCCCGAAGCATCCTGACGGCCCCCCGCCCCCGCGCGGCGCCCGCCTCGGCTTGGCAGGCCGGGTGCTCGCCCGTGCCCCCGCCCGTGCAGCTCCGTCCTCGCTCTGTGCAGCCAGCGCGCCAGCCTCCATGCTCGAGGGACCTGTGCGCCTCCAGGCTGCGCCCACCCTCCCCCTCCTCCTGCTCCTCCTCGTCCTCGTCCTCCTCCTCGTCGTGGTCACACCTGGCGCGAAGGGCACACTGTCGTTCGGCGTCGACGCATGGGTTTTGGGGGCAAGCAGGCGGCCGTTTTCTTGCCGTGTTGGAGGGTTCAATTCGTTCGCACCACGGGTTCCATGCACAGGTGAGGCACACGTTTGCCCTCCTGGGTCCTCGTAGCTGGCCCGCAGTATCAGGGTCGGCGCAGCGGGGTCAGCAGCATCAGGACTTGTGTCGTCTTCAGAGGTGGGTGTTTCGTTCACCCCAGCACCACCGGAGGTGGTACACCACCTTGGGGAAGGTGGCCGCAAGTGGGCCGGCGTCAAGTTCATGTCCTATTCCAGCGCGCCTTTTCGTTTTGGTACACCGTTGGGGAACGACTACCGTTGTCGTTTGCACATGCTCCTACATGCTCCTCTTCCACCGGGGGCGCCCCACCCAGGATCATACGCACGTATGTGTATTAGTGAAGTCGAGTTTTCTCGGAATCAATCGGCTCTTTTTTTGCTGGTGAAGCTGCTGAAGCAGGCCGAGTGACGCAAGAGCAAGCGACCTTGACACTGCTAGCCGACGGTGAGGCTTCCAAGGTCTTGGGCCGCCTGCCTCCCTCCAGCGTGAAGTTTTGTTCACTTCGGGTCGGGACCAACATGATCGGAGCGTTCCTCGAACGCGTGTGGCACCAGGTCCGCGAGGAAAGATAGTGCAGGCTCCGCGACGGAGGCCATTCGTGTAGATTGCGTGCACTCTGTTCAAGTGCGTGTTGTGTCACGGTAGTTTCAGTCGCAAAGGCCAGCTTGCGGAGTTCTGGCCATCAGTTTGCAAGCCCCGCGCCGACATCAATCAGCGAATCCAATTTTACCCCCTTCGGATTGCACCTGCCTTCCTAGGCAGAGAGCCTTCTCCTCCTCGTGATTTCCTCGGTCTTGGGGAGGCGAGAGTGGGCATGGCGACGGATCATCCTGTAGGTGGATTGTGCCGTTTTTAGCATTATTCACCTACGTTCAGGGGTGTTTCGTTATGTGAAATCTGTGGGTGCCATTGCGTGGGGAACAGGGCAGAATGCCAAAAACCCGCGCGTTCTGGCAAACATGTGCTCAGCCGCTTGAGGCGTGGGGTCCCGCCCACGTCTGGTGGCAAGTTCCCTGACCAATGAGTTTGAGAAGCGCGCCCCGCCTTGCAGCTGGTAGCAACGCGCGGAGGTATAATAGGATAGTCGAATCCTCCTCGTGTTCATGGGGCGTGGGTGGATCCAAGACCATTCGCCGAATTGGATCGAGACCGCGGGACAGACCTGTGCGCCTCCAGGCTGCGTCCACCCTCTGCCCCATCCTCCTTCGCCTTGCCATCCCCTTCCCACCCTCCACTTCTTCTTGCCCTCTGCTCTTCTCCATCGCCGGACTCGGCGACCTCGTCTGTCCGGGTCCGTCCTTCCCCTGCCCCAGCGTTCGCTCCTCCTGCTGCTGCTGCTGCTGCTCCTTTTTAGGTTGGGCGGATTGTTGCGTTCCTCCTGCTGCTGCTGCTGCTGTTCGTCCTCCTCTTCTGCGCCTCCTGTCCGGCCGCGTGGCCCAAGCAGGACCAGGGCCGAGCATACGCCCAGGTTGGCCTCCCCCCCAGTGACAACGCAGACATGGCGGCGGCCAGGCAGTCGGGGATGGGGCAGTGGGGATCTTACTCCTGGAACGGAGGGAGGACAAGGAGGAGGAGGACGAGGAGGAGGAGGAGGAGGAGGAGGAGGAGGAGGAGGAGGAGGGGGAGGGGGAGGAGGAGTTGGAGGAGGAGGGAGGAGAGGAGGAGGAAGAAGGAGGAGAGGAGGAGAAGGAGGAGGAGGAGGAGGAGGAGGAGGAGGAGGAGGAGGAGGAGGAGGGAGGAGGACCAATATAAACCCCAGACGCATCAACGATTTTGCAATATCCCCTCCTGTCAGGTTCCGTATGAGAATGGGTTTTCAGTGCGGTGAGTGCCCCATTGGAAGACAACTGTTTGAGAATTCCCAATCGTAACAAAACACAATTCTTGGGACTACAACGCCGCGCAAACCGACGCGGCTGTGCAGCCCTGGCAATCTTAAAGCGCGCCAGGATGCCATACCTGGGACTTCAACCCTCGAGTGAACGTGACTGTTGCGTCTTGACAATTGTGAATCGTGCCAGGACGCCATTCCTTGGACTTCCGCCATACGAGTCTTTGAAACAGTGGTGAACTTTTCCAGCGAACGTGCATGAGTCTAAGGCGAGGGCCGCGTCTGAAAAGGAGCCACGCTCCACCCTGGAAGCTGCTACAAACTTTAAAACGGATGTGCGCGGCGCTGAATCGAGAGCCACACACTTTGAAAACGGCCCGCCCTCCATCCTTTTGCAAGCTTTGAAGACGAATGTGCGCGGCGCTAAGGCGAGAGCCACACTTTGAAAATGAGCCTCCCTCCATCCTTGAAGCACTTGCGAACTTTGAGACGAATGTGCGCGGCACTCAGGCGAGAGCCACATGTTGTCAACGTCCCGCCTTGCATACGTTCACTCTTAAACGTTTCAAGCTTCAGGAACATGAGCGGTGAGGACGCCTCAGGCGCAACGCCCAGCACGCCCTTCCCACAGGTCTGGGGTTGCGACCGGGAGGAGTTACTTACAAGGGAAAGGGATGGATGGGGAGGGGGTAGGGAGGGGGAGGGGAAGGGGGAAACAGGGAGGGGGAGGGGAAGGGAGGGGGAGGGGAAGGGGTAGGGAGGGGGAGGGGGAGGGGGAGGGAGGAGGGAGGACCCAGGAGCCAGGGGCCCAGGAGTAAGGACTCAGGAGTGGTGCCGCGCAGGCCGTCGCCCCCCAGGGGCGGCGCGGCCTCGCGCCCTTGCCGCGCCAGTCCGCGCCGCGGGCGGGCACGGGGCCGGGGCCAGGCAAGGCCGCCTAGCTCAAGCAGTGGCGAAGCGTCGTGGTTCACCTCTTGTGGTTTGCACGAAGTGTTCTTAGAACAGTTCTGGCTGAGACTGTCTTGCTTTAGCACCTCGGGTTCATGTTCTAAGAGCATTGTTTCTGTCCTTAGAACTTTGTTGGGGTTCTGAGAACATGCCGTGGTAGGCCTACAGGGGTGCCGGGACGGTCGGTCCCTGCTCATTAGCCTACGTTCCAGTTCGTCGCGATTGGATCCGCCCTCTGAGGCCGCGATTCCGCTTCGATCCGATTCGGTTCGCTTCGCCGGCGCCCGCTGGGGCCAGCCAGAGCCCCGCGCGCTTCTCTTTCGGTTCCCGTTCGGGACGGTTCGCTGGCGATCCAGTCCGTTTCCGATCCCCGTGCGGATTCGCGATTCGATCCAGCTCTCCGAGGCGGGAATTTCTACATGACCACCGCCTGGAAGGTCAGTTTTAGGAGCCTCGGCAGGCGGTGGATATGGACATGTTCGGGCCCCCGGGGGCCGAAATATATGCATATCCACGGCCCGCTGGGGCACCAGGGCGTCGGTTCCCAGGCGGTGGATATGGATAAATCCCCGCCTCGCAAGCTCAGTCTCGCCAAGGCGCGGTCGGGTGCCTGTTGCCGAGACACGGCCACCTCAGGGCCGAGGCCTTGCGATGACGGAGTAGCCTGTTCCCGGTGGGGCGCGCTGGACAGAATGCTCCTGTCTTCGCGAAACCATCATGTCTAATGCGCGGTCTCGGATCGGCGCTGGTCCCCCTGGCAGCGCCTCCAGCGCGCTCCGCGCGCAAGGAAGAGGGTCCAGCGACGGTCCAAGAAATCCGCGTGGACCTCCGAAATATTATGCTGATGCCGTCTTGGGCCAAGGCCTGCCATCGGGCACCTGCTCCCGAAACATGGCCACCGTGGAGCCGAGTCCTTACGGTGATGAAGTCGCCTACTCCGAGCTGGTCAACATGCGTGGGGTGAGTGGGTCGCGCGGGGAGGCAGAACAGGCTCAAGAGACGGGGGTCCATGCACACGGGGGTCAGTCAGAGCGCCGGATGTTGCAGGGTCCTGCTGGGCCAGGGCTGCATCGACCCGGGGCAGTACGTCCCCGAAGAGTCTCGGGGCGAGTCCAGCGGCAGCGACGAGGGCCCCCCAGGAGGCCTCGAAAGGGGCAAGCGAGGGAGGGGCAGTGGTACCGGCACCGTGTCCTCCCCTGGGTCCGCGGGCCGATGCGCGGCGGGCGCCGCCCGCCGCGGGCCGCGGCTCGACTTGCCCAGCCCGTCGGTGGGAGGCCCGTGCCCGGAAGGGCCAGGGCGCGCTGCAGGAGAAGGGGCAGCGCGGCGCCCCTCCTCGTTCTCTGCACTGTCGACGTCGTCGTCGCGCTCGTCTGCGTCCTTGTCGCTCTCGTCGTGTTCGTCGTGTTCGTCGTCGTCGTCGTCGTCGTCGTCGTCGTCGTCGTCGTCGTCGTTGTCCTCGCTGTCCTCGTTGTTCTCGTTGTCGTCGTCGTCGTCGTCGTCGTCGTCGTCGTCCTCGCCTTCGTCGTTGTCCTTGCTCTTGTCCTTGTCCTCGCCGTCCTCGTCCTCGTAGTCGTCTTCGTCTTCGTCCTCAACGCCGTCGTCGCCGTCCTCGCGCGGGCGGAAAGGCCCGTGCTTCTGGTATTGTGCCTCGCAGTCGCGGCGGAGGGTGCCCGACCCCTCGCGCCCCGCCCCCTCTGCGCCCCCGCTTGCCGCCGCTGTCGTTGCCGTCGTCGCCTTCCTCGACGTCGGCGTCGGCATCGGCGTTTGCGGCTCTTTTTTTTTTTTTTTTTTTTTTTCTCTCTCTCTCTCTCTCTTCCTCTCCGTCGTCGTCGTCGGCGTCGGCGTCGTCGTCGTCGTCGGCGAAGCCGGCGGAGGCGGATGGAGAGAGTTTGAGGCTGCAGGTGCACCAGAATGGCGCGTCGACGAGGAAGATGACGGGGAGGATGAAACAGATGAACGGGAGGAGGCGGAGGAGCAGGACAAGGAGGAGAGACAGGTTAAAAGAGGGGGGGAGGAGGGGGGGAAAGAGACAGTAAAGGGGGAGGCACATGATCAGGGCAGGGCGGATCTGTGTGTGTGTGTGTGTGTGAGTTTGTTTGTATCTGTCTTTATTGCGACGGCCTTACGGCCCGTGCCGCCGACCCTGAGAACGACGAAGATGAAACTGAGGGGGGGCAGGGGGAGGAGGATGAGTGGGATGTGGAGGAAGGGAGGGGCAGGTGGATGAGGGAGGACGAGGAGGAGGAGGAGGAGGAGGAGGAGGAATAATAATAATAATACTAAGAATAATCATAATAATATTACTACTACTAATAATAAATAATAATAATACTAAGCGTAATAATACTAGGAATAATAATAAGAGTTCTAAGAATAATAGTAATAATAAGAATGCTAAGAATAATAATAATAATAAGAATAATACTACGCATAATAATAATAATAATATTAATAAGAAGACGAATCATACTAATCATAATAAGTTATTATTAGTAATACGAATACTAAGACGAATAATCATACGAACAAGAATAATACTAATAAGAGTAGTACGAATAAGAGGAATAGTATTCATAATAGTACTAGTAATAATAAGACTACTAATGCGAATAATAATAATACGAATGCTAATAATATTAATACTACTAATAATAAGAAGAATAATAATAACAATAATAAGAATAATAACATTAATAATATGAATAATATTAATGATATTAGCAATAAGAATAATAATAATCATAATAATAAGAGTAACAATAAGAGTACTAATAACAATACTAATCATAGTAGTAGTAATAATAATAGGAAGAATAATAATAATACTAAGAATACTACTAATAATACTCAGAATAATAATAATAAGAATAATACGAATAGTAATAAGAAGAATAAGACTATTAATACTATTCATCGTAATAATATTAATAATGATAATAATAAGAGGAATAATAAAATTAAAAATAAGAATAAGATTAAGAATACTAATAATAATAAGAATAATAATAATATTAGGAAGAAGAATAAGAATAATACAATTAATAAGAATAGTAATAAGAATAAGAACAATAAGAAGAAGAAGAGGAGGAGGAGGAGGAGGAGGAGGAGGAGGAGGAGGAAGATGAGGAGGCCAGAGGCTTTCTGGGACAGCCTGGGGCTCTCTTGAGGCCGTCTTGGGCCGTCCAGGGCTCCTCGTGCGCCGTCTCGAGGCACTCTTGGAGGCCTCTTGGGCAATTTGGGGCTCTCCTGGGCTGTCTTGGGGCAATCTTGGGGGCCTCTTGGGCCGTCATGGAGGCGTCTTGGGCCGTCTTGGGGCCCTCTTCGGCCGTTAGGGCACTCTCTTGGGGGCCTCTTGGGCCGTCTCAGGGCGATCTTGGGGGCCTCTTGGGCCGTCTTGGCGCGTCGGGACGCGGAAGAGGCAAGAACGCCAACATCTGTTAAAAACGTATGGGGGATCCATGATTTTTGCCTCTTGGGGATCTCGTGGGGGGCGGGAAAGGGATCGAAGGGAAGGGCCTCCCTTCGACTCAATTACGACGTTGCTCAACTTCGCTTTGGTTGGCGCGCTGAGGAGGTCCCCGGAAAAGGGGGGAGCTTCGACGAGCCCAGAGAAAGGGGGAGGCAGGGAAAGGGGACGACAGAGACGATGACCAACGAATTAAGGAGATGACGACGTGAACGGACAAGCCCCTCACACACGCCGACAGGGTCGGCGGATTTGTCTTTATCTGCCTGTCTGTCTGTCTGTCTGTCTGTCTGTCTGTCTGTCTGTCTGTCTGTCTGTCTGCTTGCCTGCCTGCCTGTCTGTCTGTCTGTCTGTCTCTCTCGCTCTCCCTCCCTCTCTCAACTGGCCCCTCCAATCTCCGAGGTACCAGGCTGAGGATGCGGCAGGAGCCAGACACCGCCTGCGGCAAGGGCTTCGACTCGCTGGTCCCTGGCTCCAAGGACGAGCAGGGGGGGGGGTACGGCCAAGAAGGAACGGTCGGGAGCGGTCAAGAGGGGGAGGGGGGGGATGACCAGGGGCGAGTGGACACCATGGCTGGGGCCATGATGCAGTCAACCCGCATAGTAAGGATGAGCGACGTTCTTAGGTTACCCCTTGCATCCTTCCCCTTCGGCCCCCTGGCCGCTTTCGCTGGCCGCGCCCCGCTCACAGACTGCCGACGTGGCCTTCCAGGGCCCTTGCATCCTCATCGTGCATCCTTCTTCTGATTACGGAGGAGGAGGCGGAGGAGGAGGAGGAGGAGGGGGAGGAGGGGGAGGAGGAGGAGGAGGGGGAGGAGGAGGAGGAGGAGGAGGAGGAGGAGGAGGAGGAGGAGGAGGATGGTCCCTCTTCTTATCTCAGCACGTCCCCTGGCCCGTCCCCTGGCCCGTCCCCCGGCCCGCCCCTGGGCGACGCACGTGCCTCGGGGCCACGACGCGCACGGCCCCCGCTCTGGCGCCCCCGAGAAGGGGGGGCGCCCGCAGCCTCTGCTGGCCCGAGAAGGCGAAGAGGGAACATCGGCTCGGGGGTGGACAGAACCCCCAACAGTGACACGTCGATTAGTGAATTGTCCGTTTTCGGTTTTCGAGAGGGCGCCGTGGCCGTTATTTTCCAGGCTTGCGCCCGCCAGGTTTGGGCCCGAAGTCGTTTTCACTAAACCACGTTTTACTAAAGGGAGGTTTGTCCATCCCCGAGAAGAGGGAACATCGGCACAGGCATGCGGTGGGGGCGCGCAGGAGCTGCTGCGTTCAGGGTGCTCTGGCCCACCTCCCCCCACTTGCATCTCGCGCCCGCGGATCTCAGTGCTGGGTTTCCTGCGAGGGTCTTTTTTGCGGGCTCGAGAGACGGGTCAATGCAGACGGGGGTCCGTCAGAGCGCCGTATCTTGCAGGATCCTGCAGGGCCAGGGGCGCACTGACCCGGGTTTGGGTGCAGGATCCTGCAGGATCCTGCAGGAGCTTGCAGGATTTTGCAGGATCCTGCAGATCTTGACTGACCCGGGCCTGGATTGATCCGGGTCAGCAGATCCCCGAAGAAACAGCGGCACGGACATACACCTTTGGATGCCCCCGCGGATTTCTTGGATCAGCGCTGAGATCCCCTGGCGGCGCCTCCGTCGCCCCCCCCCCCCGAGGCGTTCCGAGCGCCAGGGAGGGGGACAAGCGCCGATTCAAGAAATCAGCGCGGATCTCCGACAGTTCTATGTCTATGTAGTTTTTATTCCCCGAAATAGCATCGCGTTAGACCTACTTCGGTATGTTCGGCATCTGGGAGCCACTTCTGAGGCGCAGGAACGTCAACATGCATACGAGGGGGGACTGCACGCACCTCCTGTTAGTTTCCTTTCGCCTCCCTTCCTCCCTCTCCCGCTTCTCCCCCCCTTCCGTCCTCCTCTCTCTGTTTGCCCCCTGCTCTTCCTCCTCCTTCTGTCCTTCCTCCTGTGCTCCTCCCACTTGTCTCCCTCTCGCTATCATTCTATTCAAGTGGTTTAAGCCATTGCGCCGACCCTCATTTGAGTAGAGACGTCCAGGGCGTTCGGTAGGCTACGTTGCAGCTGGCGTGGCTCGGTGTTTTATCACGTCAGAGTTCAACAGCATCAGGAGGAGGAGGAGGAGGAGGAGGAGGAGGAGGAGGAGGATTATGGAGGATTTGCGGAGTTGGGAAGGAGGGCGCAGGCTTCCTCCCACTCGTCTCCCTCCTCGCTATCATTCTACTCCCTCATTCGTTTTGCGCTCCTGGATTCTTTCGGTTTCCTGTGCCCGAGCACCGCGGTGCGATTCGTTCGCCTCCGCCCTTCTCCCACACATCGAGAAGGAGGAGGGCGAGGACGGCGCGAAGCAGGACCAGGAGGATCAGGAGATAATCGTAGTATGGCAGCCATGGGAGGGAACAGAGACGGGCGAGGAGGGTGAGTAGGAGGGATGAAAGGAGGCAGAGGAGCAGGAGGAGGAGGAGGAAGAGGAGGAGGAGAGGAACGCCGACGGCGACCATGATGACGATGATGATGATGATGATGATGATGATGATGATGATGATGATGATGATGATGATGATGATGATGATGATGCTGCTGCTGCTGCTCCTGCTGCTGCTGATGATGATGATGATGGTGGTGGTGGTGATGATGATAATGACGATGATGATGATGATGCTGATGATGATGATGATGATGATGATGATGATGATGATGCTGATGCTGATGCTGATGCTGATGCTGCTGCTGCTGCCGATGATGATGATCATGATGATGATGATGCTGCTGCTGCTGCCGATGATGATGATCATGATGATGATGCTGATGCTGATTTTCGACGATTCGGAGCACTCTTGGACCATCTTGGGGTCTCTTGGAGCTCTCTTGGCCCGTCTTTGAGCCCTCTTGGGCCCCACAAAATCATGCGACAAGCCGCGGGGGGCCGCGACAAGCCCCCGACCAGACGCGAGATGCCCCCGTGAGATTTGAGAATTGGGGTCCAGGCCCCTTGAAGACTCTTCAGGACTGAGGATTGAGGCTTAGAGGATGAGGGACATGACCTGAGGACACGCCCACTCCGTGCCCCCAGAGGCGCGGTGGCGGATATCGCACAACCGAGACTTGCCTCACATAGATTGCACCACGTATATTCTCCTTTCTAAAAGCAAAATAGACTCCCTCCCCCCCAGCGTTATCCGTTCCCCCGTGGGATATGTAAATCGTAGATGATTCTGACCAAATGTCCATCCTACATATGAATTTTCAATGTCCCAGGGGAACCGGTATCGGTTCCCCTGAGGTTCCCTTGTAAAAAACGATGCGCGGGGACATCTTTTGTTCTAACATCGCACTTTGTCACGAATCCCTTGCAAACAATGGGACGAAGTGCACACGCGCGCGTCATCGCGCGCGCATGCCGAAATCCTTCAAAAACCTTTGGTTTCGGAAGGATTTCGCAATCGAGTTTGCAAAAAACATGCAAAACACAGGGTTTTGCAACACTGATTTGCTAAAAAAGCTTACGCGCGAGCTCTTGCGAAATCTTGAGAACACCATAGGTTTTTCAAGATTTCCACAACATGCTACCAAACGGGCTTCGCGCGCGCGCATGTCGAAATCTGTCGAACGCCCTTGCGCGTGTGCCGTCGCGAGAATCCTCTGCAACAAATGGGGCGAAGTGCAGACGTGCGCGTCGTCGCGCGCGTATGCCGAAACCCTTCAAAACCCATCGGTTACGGAAGGATTTCAAAATCGTGTGTCCAAAAAACCTACAAAAAACACAAGGTTTCGCAACACTGATTTTCAACACAAGCGTGCGCGCGCGCTCTTGCGTCGTCGTCGTCGTCGTCGTCGCCGTCCTCCCTCCTCCCGCGTCGTCGTCGTCGTCGTCGTCGTCGTCGTCGCCTACGTCGTCCTCTGTCTTTCCTCGTGTTCGTCGTCCTCGTCCTATTCGGCGTCGTGGTCGTTTCCGTCGTCGTTGTCGCCGTGGTCGTCCTTCCTCCTTCTCTTTCGTCGTCGTCGTCGTCCGTCGTCGGCGTCTCAGAGTTGTCCCTCCTATTTCGTCGCCGTCGTCGTCGTCGTTGTCGTTGTCGTCGTCGTCTTTCCTCCTCCCTCGTCGTTGTCGTCGTCGGCGTCGCCGTCCTTCCTCCTTCTTCGTCGTTCGCGTCGTCGCCGTCCTCCCTCCTCCCTCGTCGTTGTCGTCGTTGTCGTCGTTGTCGCCGTCGTCGTCCTCCCTCCTCCCTCGTCGTCGTCTTCGTTGGCGACGTCGTCGTCGTCTTCGTCGTCGTCGTCGTCGGCGTCGGCGTCGTCGTCGTCTTCGTCGTCGTCGACGTCGGCGTCGTCTTCGTCGCCGCCGTCGTCGTCGTCGTCGTCGGCGTCGTTGACGTCGTTGTCGTCGTCGGTGTCGTCGTTGTCGTCGTCGTCGGCGTCGTCATCGTCGTCGTCGTTGTCATAGTCGTCGTCGTCGTCGTCGGCGTTGGCGTCGTCGTCGTCGTCGTCGTCGTTGGTGTCGTCGTCGTCGTCGTCGTCGTCGTCGTCGTCGTTGTCGGCGTCGTCGAAGTCGTTGGAGACGTCGTCGGTGTCGTCGTAGTCGATGTCGGCGGCGTCGTCGTCGTCGTTGTCGCTGTCGTCGTCGGCGTCGCTGTCGTTGCCAAGCGCCATTTGGTACCCACCGTCACAGTCTTAAGAGATTTTGCAAACCAAGTTGCGGGTGGGTGGGTGGGATGTTTGCGCGAGCAGTGGAGTGGTCAGGCGCGGTGCAGGGTAGTCAATTGCACCACATAGATTCCACAACACAGACTGCATAACATGTGTTGCACAACCTAGATTGGACCGCACACATTGCACCACATCTGTTGTTCTACATCGATTGCTTGACATAGGTTGTGCCACATATATTCGCCGTTCTACAAACAGAATTTGGATCTACCACCCTCTCTCCCGAATTATCGATCCCCCTGGGAATGTTTAGTTTACGCGCGATTCAGTCCCATCGTTCATTCTAGTTATCAACTCATACCATCCTAGCCAGACTCCCCCCTTCATCCCAAGTGCACTGCGCGCACAGTTGTTTATCACAAGGTATCATGGGACAGAGTCCACACGCGCGCGTCGTCGCGCGCGCATCTCAGGGATTTCAGAACCGAGCGTCCTGAACACATGTTAAGACATATGGTTTTGCATCACGCGTTTTCGAAACAACTGCGCGCGAGCTGTTCCGAACTCTGGAGGAACCCAACGGTTTATCACCATCTTCATCAAATGCGACTAAACGGGCCTCTCGCGCGGGCATGTCGAAATCATTCGAACGCCCTTGCGCGCTGTCTCGTGCGTTGGGGGGCCTAAACCCGAGTTACCCCATACCACAATTATCCCAGATAATTCGGCGTTCAACGAAGGAGGGACGGGTGCGGGGTGCGGGGGTTGTATTTTTCGAAACTTGGAAACCGCACAAACAAACTTTTGGATGTCTGCGCGTATTTTTGGAATCTGCGCTGGACCCACCTGGCGGTGCCTCCGGCGCCGCCCCTGGCGCGCTCCGCGCGCCAGGGAGGGCCATGGGCAGATACAAGAGATCCGAGCGGACCGTCGAGCGTTTCTGTTTATGTAGTTTTTTTCTTCCTCAAGGGAGGGGTGCGGAGGTCGGATTGCTCCTCCTCTTCCGCCTTTGCGTTCCCTTCTTCTCCTTCTCCCCCCTCCTGCGCTTCCTCTGCCCTCTCCTCTTCCCCTGCCCCACCTCATCCTCCTCCTCCTCCTCCTTCTCCCTCCCGTCCTTCTCCCTCCCGTCCTTCTCCCTCTCGTCCTTCTTCTTCTCCTTCTCCTTCGGCCTGTCCAGGACTATTTCGCCACTGCCTCGGTGGAGCTCTTCAAGCACCCGGGCAAGCTGACGGATAACGCCACGTTTGCGACAGAGCTCCAGTGCTGGCCGCTTGCTCAGCATATGGGCAGAAGGAGGGGGATGAACCAATGGATGGAGATCAGGAGGAGGAGGAGGAGGAAGAAGGATGATGATGATTTTAATGATGACGATGATGACGATGTATATGATGATACTGATGCTGATGACGATGATGATGGCGGTGGTGGTGGTGATGATGATGACCATGGCGACGGCGATGATGCTGATGATGATAGGGAGGGGGAGGAGGAGGAGGAGGAGGAGGATGAGGAGGAGGATGAGGAGACTGAGGATGAGGATGAGGATGACAATGAGGACGATGATGACAATGATGATGCTGCTGCTGCTGATGATGATGATGGTGATGATGATGATGCTGAGGATGAGGATGGGGATGAGGATGAGGACGATGATGAGGATCATGCTGCTGCTGCTGATGATGATGATGATGATGATGATCATGATGATGCTGATGCTGATGATGATGAGGAGGATGATGCCCATGATGCTGACGATTGTGGTGATGATGATGCTGATGATGCTGCTGCTGATGATGGTGATGATGGTGATGATGGTGGTGATGATGATGCTGATGGTGATGGTGATGGTGATGGTGTTGATGGTCATGGTGATCGTGATGGTGATGGTGATGGTGATGGTGATGATGATGATGATGATGCTGATGCTATGATGATGCTATGGTGATGATGATGATGATGATGATGATGATGATGATGAGGATAATGATGATGATGATGATGATGATGATGATGATGATGATGATGATGATGATGATGATGGTGATGGTGATGGTGGTGGTGGTGGTGGTTATGGTGGTGATGATGATGCTGATGGCGAGGGGGAGGATGAGGAGGGACGACGGCGTTGAGGAGGAGGAGGAAAAGGAGGATGTCGTCGTCGTCGTCGTCGTCGTTTTTGTTGTACTCTTATCATTGAAGAATAATTATTGTTGATCCCCCCTCTGGTGACCATTGTGTTTTTGAATTGAAGTGCTTCCCCCGGGGCTCGCACCCTGTTCTGTATCAAGGAAAGTCACGGGGCTCAAACTGTGTTGCTGGCCCCCGGATTACAGCAACAACGGCCCGCGCCTGAGACTTCTCCACAATTTAGCCAGGACCCCCACTCCCGCCTGAGACTTCGTCGCATTTTACTCAGGAATCGCGCTCCCTTCGGGACTCCCTTACAATTTATTCAGGAATCGCTCTCTCGGCGCTCTGGAGTCGCGCTCTCGCTGGGGATTTGCTTGCAGTTTACTCAAGAATCAAGCTCTTGCGTTGGAATTCTCCACAATCTACTCAAGCGCCGCGCCCCCGACACTCAGGCACCCAGGAGTCGCGCTTACGCTTGGGACTCCTTCGAAGCTTACTTAGGAATCGGAATCTCGCTGCCCTCCGTGGCCCCGCACCTTCGTGGTCCCGTTGCACCCTTTCGTGGCCCCCTCGCTGCCCTTCGTGGCCTCGTTGCAGCCCTTCGTGGCCCCCTCGCTGCCCTTCGTGGACCCGTTGCAGCCTTCAGTGGCCCCGTTACTGCCCTTCGTGGCCCTTCGTGGCCACCGCGCTGCCCTTCGTGGACCCGTTGCAGCCTTCAGTGGCCCCGTTACTGCCCTTCGTGGCCCTTCGTGGCCCCCGCGCTGCCCTTCGTGGCCCCGTTGCAGCCCGTCGTGGCCCCTCGCTGCCCTTCGTGGCCCCGTTGCAGCTCTTCGTGGCCCCCTCGCTGCCCTTCGTGGCCCCCTCGCTGCCCTTTGTGGCTCCCTGGCTGCCCTTCGTGGCTCTGTTGCAGCTCTTTGTGGCCCCCTCGCTGGACACCGGTCATGGGGAACTCAAAACGTACCAACAGCGCCACACCCCCGACCACTCCGCAGCCATTTTGGCTCAAGGTCCTCTCAGTCAGCGCGCGCGGGGGGGCGCGTCCGCTGCATAGGGGGCCGGGGCTGCGCCCAGGCGAGGCCGCGACGGCGGCCCACGAACCACGCGCTGGCAGCCCGGCGAGGCACCCGCGGCAGCGGCGGGCGCGCAGGCAGGCGCGCGTGCTGTTGCGGCTAGGCCAGGCGGCTGGCCTTCATCAGCAACACCACAGCCGCCAGATGCCCCCCCGCCGCGAGCGCGGGCAGCAGGCTCCTGGCGGGGGGGCATGCCGCTCCGACCCGGGGATGCTTGCTGCGGCGCTGCGGACGCTGCTCGGCGCGGGAGCGACGGGGGCGGCTGCTGGGGGTGGATCTGGCAGGCGGCAGCGGCGTCAGCAGGAGCCGCAAGAGCAGCAGCGTCAGCTGCCACGAGGTGGAGCTGGGGCTCGGGATGGTGGCCCTACCGAGCGGCTGGCAGGCCCCCGCCAGCCGATGTGGGGCTGCCCATGCGGGGTGGCCGACAATTGGGCATGCCGCGCAGCCTGCTGGGGTTGCGGCCGCCGCGCGCCCCGCTCGGCAGACGCGCCGTCCGTGCGGGTGGCGCAGCCAGGCCGGGCGCCTCGGCCCGCGACGAAGGCGCAGCGGGCTCCACAGGCGGTGGGGCACCAAGGCGACGCAGCGGCTCCTCGTCCAACCACAGAGGCTGCGCCTGCGGCTGCGGGCGGCCCAGCGGCGGCTGCGGAGGCCGCCGATGCCGCGGTGGCCGAGCCGGCGGCCGGGGAGCGCCTTGCAGCCGTGCGCGCCCGCCTGGCGGCGAACCGGGGCTTCCCGGATCTTGCCGCTCAGGTGGCCCGGTGGGGGGCGGAGGAGGCGGCGCTGGTAGAGGCGGAGCGCGCGGCCCGGCCTCTCGAGCGCCGGCTGCGGTCGGCAACGGATGCGTTGCGGCGCGGTGCCGAGGCGGCCCTGCAGGCGCGGCAGGCCGCTGCCGACGTTCGGGAGGCGGCCGTGCGGGCGGCGCAGGTGGCCGCGGCCAAGCAGGAAGAAGGGGGGCGCGCGGCTGCCGAGGAGGCCGCCGCGCAGTGGACGTTGGCGTCCGTGCAGGCCGAGGTGGCCGCTGGTGGCGCCGCGGGGCCGGCGCCAGGCCCCGCAGGTGCCCCTGTAGGAGGGCTCGACGGGGCCTTCGCGGCGCTTGCCGCCGCCGCCGCCCCTGGGGCGCAGGCCGGCGTGGCCGGCCGGCTGCAGCAATTCCGCGGAGCGCTCGCGCAGGCACCAGGAGGCGGCGGTGGGGCGGCCCCTGCAGGAGGTGCGGTGGTGGCAGCGGGCAGTCCCGTCGCCTCAGTGCCTGCCGCCGCCGCCGACGGTGGCGGTTCCGGCTCTCCTGCCGCCGCTGTTGCGCTGGCGCTGCCGGAGGGCCCTGGTCCCACGGCTGTCGCCGCGCTTGGCGCCGCGGCGCCTGGTGGCGGGCCCAGCGGCGCCGAGGAGTGCGGATCCGAGCCCAGGTCATGGCTCGATGTGGCCGCCGCGCACCACGCCGCCGAAGCCAGGCGCCAGGTCGCGCTCAGGCAGTGCCCGGGCCGCCCGCGCGCCTGCTCCACCCCGCCATCCCCGAGCAGACGGGGCCGCTCCCGAGCACGGCGGGCTCGTCGTACCAGCGGCCGAGGTGGGCGCCCTGGCCAGGCGGCCGGCGGTGGCGAGGCTGCTCTCGGAGCGCCGTGTAGGGCGGCGGTTCGTGAGAGGTGGAACGCGGCTCGCGCCTGCTGGGGGCGGATGGCCCGCGGCAGCTGTCGAGGCAGGCGCCGGGGTCAGGCGGCCCACCCTGGCCGCGCTGGGTGGCATCGCCAGGCGGCTCGCGCCGGCGGCTGTGGTGAGGGTCTCTGGAGGTGCCCTGCCCTGGCAAAGGTTTTCCGAAATCCTTGGCCGTGGGCGCCGCGGCTGGGCGCAGCTTGGGAAACTGCCGCGTCTTGCGCTCGTGCACTGTGACAGGCGGCTCGCGCCGGGGGTGCGCTGGAGCGAATGGCCGTGGCGAGGCATCCGCGTGGGCGAGGCCTCGCGCCCAGGGCCCGCCCTCGCAGCCGCGCCGCGCGAGGTCGCGGTGCTCGTCGCCAACGTCGCGCGCTGGTGTGCGCCTGCAGGAGGCCCGGGTCCCCGAGGCAGAGGCGGCCTCGGCGGTGGCCACTGCCGGGGCGCGAGGCCTGCAGCTGCATCCTGGGCCGCTCGGCGCGGGGGAGCACCTGTTGGCGGCAGTTCACCGGCTGGGGTGCGCCCGGGCTCGCGCGGGCCCGCCTCTAGGGCTCTCGGGGCGGTGCCCAGGCCGCCTGCAGCGCGTGGTGCTGCGCTTCGGCGGAGGCCGCGCGGTTCATTTCATGAACTTCTACGACTATGCTGGGGGCCCACCGCACGTCGAGCGGAATGCCGCCCTCATCATGGAGGGCGTGGGATGGCTGCGGGGGCTGGGGGATGTCCCAGCATTTCTCGTCGGCGACTTGAACTGCAAGCTTGTCGACTCGGGCCTGGACGGGCTGCTGGCGATGGCTGGGTGGCGCGACTTGCTCGCCGAGGCTGGGCCGACGTGCCTGCCGTCGCAGGGGGGGCCACTGCGGAATTATATGTTCAGGAGGGAAAAAACACAGACACAATTATCCCGGCAAAGCAACCTAACAGCGATGTGTAGGAGCATATCTGGAAGCATTCCCCTTAAATTTCAGATGAAAATCCAGTTGTCGAATTCTGCTGTTCTCGCAGTCGCAGTCGCACTCGCGATGAAAGTCGCAGTGGCAACGGCAGTCGCAGTCACAGCCTCAGCCTCAGCCTGCCTCAGCCTCAGCCTCAGCCTGCCTCAGCCTCAGCCTCAGCCTGCTTCAGCCTCAGCCTCAGTCTGCCTTCAGCCTCGGCCTCAGCCTCAGCCTGCCTCAGCCTCAGCCTGCAGCCTCAGCCTCAGCCTCAGCCTGCCTCAGCCTCAGCCTGCCTCAGCCTCAGCCTCAGCCTGCCTCAGCCTCAGCCTCAGCCTGCTTCAGCCTCAGCCTCAGCCTGCCTCAGCCTCAGCCTGCATCAGCCTCAGCCTCAGCCTCAGCCTCAGCCTCAGCCTCAGCCTCAGCCTGCCTCAGCCTCAGCCTCAGCCTGCCTGCCTCAGCCTCAGCCTCAGCCTGCTTCAGCCTCAGCCTC